GTAAGTTGGACTTTTTCATGCACGTTAATTAGACTTTGATAATGATCTTACAACAAATGATTTGATTTTCAACCCAAAAAAATCGTTTGCTTGATAATTATCTCACTATATCAAATGCAAACCTAATCACGAATTAGAAAAGATTAAGCGTGTCTTTACACTTATCCAATCTATCCAAGGATTAGCATCACCCGTGTCATTTACATCATCCGGATGTACAAAGAACGAAAGAAAAAAGGCTAATTGTGAGCGCTCTTTTGATATATAGTAGTGCGTGACGTCATGAATACGTTGGGGAAAAGTATAAGTTCTCCATTTTTTTCTGCATGAGAGAGTTGGAGAGAGAGAGGCAGAGAGACAGAGATAGAGGTAGAGACACAGGCAGGCAGACAGGAAGAGAGGGAGGGAGAGAGAGATAAAGGTAGATAGATAGAGAGAGAGAGAGGGGGGGGGGGGGGAGGGAAAGAGGGAGATGGACACATACACACACACACACACACATACTCTCTCACACACACACACACACACACACACACACACACACACACACACACACACACACACACACATACATGCATACATACATTCACACACACACACACACACACACACACACACACACACACACACACACACACACACACACATACATTCATACTGACTGACTGACTGACCGACCAACCTACCAAAAGACCGACCGTCTGAATGAATGAATGAATGAATGAATGAATGAATGAATGAATGAATGATAGGCAGACTCACTGACTAGAAGATGAAGAATGTACATATGTGCATTATAAATCTACAGACAATGTATTTATATGCATTATAAATCTACATTATATTACGTCACATAGTACATCATATTATAGACAGACTGGCTGACTGAAACAAAGAACAATGTTTGAGTGTCTGTGTGTGTGTGTGTGTGTGTACTCACATGTGCTTGAGTTTATGCGTACATACATGTGTATCCAATATGAAAAGGTTTATACGTACATACATGTGTATCCAATATGAAAAGGTTTATACGTACATACATGTGTATCCAATATGAAAAGGTTTATATGTACATACATGTGTATCCAATATGAAAAGGTTTATACGTACATACATGTGTATCCAATATGAAAAGGTTTATACGTACATACATGTGTATCCAATATGAAAAGGTTTATACGTACATACATGTGTATCCAATATGAAAAGGTTTATACGTACATACATGTGTTTCCAATATGAAAAGGTTTATACGTAAATACATGTGTATCCAATATGAAAAGGTTTATACGTACATACATGTGTATCCAATATGAAAAGGTTTATACGTACATACATGTGTATCCAATATGAAAAGGTTTATACGTACATACATGTGTATCTAATATGAAAAGGTAACATCACGAGCTCGAGCTCTCTTTAAACACAATTTTTTTTTTTTTTCATTATCTTCCTCCCCCCCCCCCTTTTTTTAACGGCGCAGAACATTTTTGACCTTATAAAGCGTGACTTAGAGAGAAGGTCCACTCGCCGGCGCTGACCTTGACCTAGATTACCCTGGGTTTCTGAACAACATCTGCTTAATGCGTGTTTCCCGTGCGTGATTCTACTCTTAATGCCTTGTTCTGCAGGGAGTGGTTGCCGTGCAGGGAGGAGGGAGGTGGAGGGAGGGAGGGAGGGGGAGGGAGAAAGGAAGTGCGAGGAGGAAGTTGAGGAGGGGAGGAGGGAGGGAGGGAGGGGGAAAGGGGGGGGGAGAAAGGAAGTGCGAGGAGGAAGTTGAGGAGGGAGGAGGGAGGGAGGGAGGGAGGGGAGGAGGGAGAAAGGAAGTGCAAGGAAGTGCTTGGGGGAAGTGAGGAGGGAGGAGGGAGGGAGGGAGGGGGAGGAGGAGGGAGAAAGGAAGTGCAAGGAAGTGCTTGGGGGAAGTGAGGAGGGAGGAGGGAGGGAGGTAAGGGGGAGGGAGAAAGGAAGTGCTTGAGGGAAGTGAGGAGGGAGGAGGAAGGGAAGGGGTAAGGGAGAGGGAGAAAAGAGGAGGGAGGGGAGGAAGGAGAAAGAAAATACATTGTAGAAGTGAGGAAGGGGGAGGGAGGGAAAGGGGGAGGGGGAGAGAAAAGACGAGGTGGTAGCGGAAGAGGGAGAAAGAAAGTGCAAAGGTGAAGTAGGGAGGGAGGATGGGGATGGAAGAGAAAAGAGGAGGGGGGGATAGAGAAAGGAAGTGCTTGGGGGGGGGGGGTGAGGGGATGGAGTGAATCGGGAAGGGGTGAAAGGGGAGGGAGGAGGAGGAGGAGAAAGGGAGACTGATGGATGGCAACGAAATGAAGATAGAGGGAGAAGGGGTGGAGAGGAAAAAAGAGAGAGGGGGGTGGAAGGGGGGAGAAGGAGAGAGGGGGGGATGGAAGGGGGAAGAAGGAGAGAGGAAATGAGCTTATGATTGAAAGGGTATGGAATAAGGGAGGAGATAGAGTTGGTAGGGGATGGAGGGGGAAGGGGGGGGGAGAGGGTAAAGAAAGGGGAGAAGAAAGAGAGGGTTGATGGAGGGGGAAGGGGGGAGAGAGAGAGAGTAAAGAAGGGGGATAAAAAAGAAAGGGTTAATGGAGGGGAAGAGGTGAAAAGATGAGGGGAGAAGGAAGAGAGAATGGGAGGGAGAGTAAAGAAGGAAAAATGGATAGAAAAAGAGAATGAAAAAAAGAAGGAAATGAGGCACGAAAAAAAGATAGTAGGATGAAGAGGATTGAAGATAAGATGGAAAAGAAGAATCAGAAGAAAAGAGAGAAAGAAGTAGAAAAAATGAGGGAAAATGGAGATAAATGAAAGGAAATATAGATAGAGAAAGGAAAGGATAGAGGAATTAGAGTCATGCAAAAGGAAAATGAATAAGTAGGGTTAACGAGCGTGTGCGAGCGAAATCCAGCGTGTGGGAAGTAGTTAAAAAGGGTGAATAAAGAATGCATGATGAAGTAGGTAGTAGGGAAAAAAAGGGGGAAAAGGCGAAAGTGAAGGATATTAGACACACACACACACACACACACACACACACACACACACACACACACACACAACACAGACACACACAAACACAAACACACACACACACACACACAAACACACACAAACACACGCACACGCACACGCACACACACACACACACACACGCACACACACACACACACACACACACACACACACACACACACACACACACACACACACACACACACACAAACACAAACACACACAAACACACGCAAACACAAACACACATAAACACACGCACACACGCACGCACGCACGCACGCACAAAGAGTAGGCGTCATCTAAGGGCTAGCCTGGGCCACGAAAGACCCAGCGAGAACCGGGAAGCAAAGAGCTGTGCTACCGGTTTGAAGTACACTCGCTACGAACAGACCAATTCTTTATTCACTACAAAGGCAGAGAATCAAAAGCAACGCGTTTTGAACCTATACTTTTTTCTTGAAATTGTTTCCTTTTTTTTGTTTTTTGTGTTTTGTGTTTGTGTTTGCTGTTGTTGTTTTTTTTCGTTTGTTTGTTTGTTTGTTTGTGTTGATACCTTAAGACTGGTCAAGTGTTCCTTCTTCTTCCTCTCTCCTTGTCATCTTCCTTTCTCTTTTCCTCTCCCCTTGTCCTCTCCTCCTCTCATTTTCTCCCCTTGTCCTCTCCCCTTCTCCTTCTTCTTCCCTTGTCATCTCCCTTTCTCTTTCCTCTCTTCTTGTCCTCTCCCCTTCTCCTTCCTCCCCCCTTGTCCTCTCCCCATCTCCTTCCTCTTCCCTTGTCCTCTTCCCTTCTCCTTCCTCTCCTCTTGTCCTCTCCCTTTCTCTTTCTTCCCCCCTTGTCATCTCCCCTTCTTCCTCTCCTCTTGTCCTCTCCCCTTCTCCTTCCTCTTCCCTTGTCCTCTTCCCTCTCATTTTCTCCCCTTGTCCTCTCCCCTTCTCCTTCCTCCCCCCTTGTCCTCTCTCCGTCTCCTTCCTCTTCCCTTGTCCTCTTCCCTCTCCCCTCCTCACCCTCTCACCTCTATATTCGCCCCTCCCCTCGCGTCCCCTCGCGTCCCCTCGCTTTATACCCTCTCCCCTCCGTCGCCTTGTCCCATCCCCTCCCCCTCGCTCAGCCCCCCTCCTTGTGATCCCCTCTCTCCTCTCCTTCCTCTCTTCTCTCTCCTCCCGTCGATCTTTTTTCCCCTCTCCTCCCCTCGCTCTCCCCTCTCCTGCTCTCGCTTCCCCCCTTTCCTCCTCTCCTTCTCTCCTCTCTCCTCCCCTCGCCTATTTCCCCTCTCCTCCCCTCCTTCTGTCCCCTCTCCTCCCCCAACCCTTTCCCCTCTCCTCCCCCCGCCCTCTCCCCTCGCACTTTCCCCTCTCCTCCCTTCGCTCTCTCCCCTCTCCTCCCCTCGCTCTCTCCCCTCTCCTCCCCCAACCCTTCCCCCTCTCCTCTCCTCTCCTCCCTTCCCCCTCTCCCCTCTCCTCCCTTCGCCCTCTCCCCTCTCCTCCCCTCGTCTATTCCCCTTCCCAGTACTCCCCTTTTTTTCTGTTATTTCACTCTGGACGCAGGACTGAATATTCCCCTTTGCCCTGCCCTCACCCCCCCCCCCACCCCTGCCTCTCTCCTCCCTCCCCTTCCCTCCTTACCTTCTCCCCTTCCTTCCTATTCCTGCTTTCCTTCTTTTCCTTCCCGTTTTAGCCTGGTTTTCTCTTCCACTTATCCTCGTTCTCTTCCTATCTCCTTCTTTTATTTCTTCTTTCCTTCTCTTCCTTTTCTCGTATTATCGATTTACCTTGCACTTCCTATGCCTTCCTTTCTCTTATCCTCTTCCCGTCCACCACTTCTTCTGTTTTCCCTTTCTCTTACTTTCTTCTCTACTTCTCTCTCTTTTCTTGCCTACCTACCTTTCTTCTACTATCCTTTATCTCTCCTTCCTTAATCTTCTTCATCCCTCTCTACCTTCTTCTTCCCACCCCTCATTTCCCTTTCTCCTTCCCACCATTACTTCCTTT